GCTGTGGCTCAAGTAGTAGAACACTAGCCTTGAGCAAAAGAAGCTCAAGGACAGTACCCAGGCCTTGAATTCAAGCCCCAGGACTGACATGTGTGCATGCAGGCATGCGTGCATGAGTTCAAGCACGTACACACACACTGAGAACTAGAACTATTTTGTTCTGTATCTTTTCCTTTCCTCCATTCCAAGAAGGTAGCCTCACCTTCTATTCCTTTGTGTTTCAAGGGATCTTCCCTTCAGAGTATCTCGAAATTCCAGGGTTTTAGGAAAATGAGAATGTCCAAGGAATCCCTCTGATATTTGTTCTTGCCAGTTGCCACAGATAGGTCCCTTGTTTAAACAAAGTTGTTTCCTTGACACTTCTGCAGGTGCATTGTCTCTGCCAGTGTTCACAGCTGAGTTATTCTCCAGGAGGCCCATCCCTTCCAGGGCACAGCTGCAGGTCCCCATTACTTGGTGCATCTCAGGCTCCTTAGAGACTTTGACCACCCCTTTCCCCAGGCCTATCCCCCCCCCCCCCCCCACACACACACAACACTCCTTTCTGCCTTTAGGATACTTACATTTTTCTCAATGAGTTCATTTCCCCCCTCTCTTCTGCTGGAAGAGAGGTCTTTTGGCAAATAGACTTGAGGCAAGGGAATAGAAGGTGAGGCTACCTTTTTGGAATGGAGTAAAAGGGAAAGACAGAACAAAATATTCATAGCTCTCGGTGGTGGTGGTGGTGGTAGTGGTGGTGATGATGGTGGTGTGTGTGTGCGTGCACGTGCTTGAACTCAAGGCCTAGGTGCTGTCCTTGAGCTTCTTTTGCTCAAGTCTAGCACTCTACCACTTGAGCCATAGTTTCATTTCTGGCTTTTCGGTAGTATATTGGAGATAGGAGTCTCAAAGGACTTCCCTGCCCAGACTAGCTTCAAACCATGAGCTTCCTGAGTAAGAAGGATTATAGGCCTGAGCCACTGGCTCTCAGATTTTTGTTCTTTCAGTGCATTGGGGGGGGGGGGGGGGGAGAAACCTCAATTATCTCTGTTATCCTATGATATTATTGAAAACAAAAGCACCAAAGTCCCTCTGGACCATCCCCTCTCCAAAACCTCTCCCAGAGTAACCATGATCAAGACTGGTGTGTACATGTTGTCTTTACAGTTAACTATCAGCTCTCCAGTTGTTAAACCTCCCATAGTTAGTCAAGAAATATGAAGTGCCCGGTGTGCAGCAGGCACTGGGGCCAGATTTCCTCCAGGAGAGAGGAAAGGCAACGGATAATTCTAATATAGTGGGGTAAGTCTATGATTAGGGAAATGCAGGACCCAGCCACAAGTGCCAAATGTGTTTAGGGAAATGAAGCAAGTTATTTCTGGACATGGATTGCCAGGAGGGAAGAGATATGCGAAGGGAAAGTAAACTGTGTGGCAAGGCCGGAGAACAAAACTCAATCCAGCCTTTTATGTGTAAGAGTGCATACTTGGAACTGGGGTGTGTGGCTTAAGTAGTAGAACACCAGCCATGAGTAAAAAAGCCAAGCAAGAGCATGGAACCCAGGCGGGGAGGGTGGCTCAGTGGTTGAGTGCTTGCCTTGCAAGCATGAGGCCCTGGGTTCAATTCCTCAGCACCACATAAGCAGAAAAAACCGCAAGTGGCACTGTGGCTCAAGTGGTAGTGCACTAGCCTTGAGCTGAAGAGCTGAGGGACAGCGCCCAGGCCTAGAGTTCAAGCCCAATGACCGACAAAAAGAAAAGAAAAGAAAGAAGACGAGCATGAGGCCCTAAGTTCAAAATCCAGTATCAGTACAAAAAAACATACTTCATATCAAAAACTTGAAGACTTGAACTTAGAGCTCTTATTCCTTGTCCCTGAGCTTTTTTTCCCTTTTTTTTTTAACTCAAGGCTAATGCTCTACCACTTGAGCATTTTAGTGGTTAATTGGAGATAAGAATCTCACAGACTTTCCTGCCCAGACAGGCTTTAATGTGATCCTCAGATCTCAGCCTCCTGAGTAGCTAGAGTTACAGGCGTGAGCCATCCCAAGCCCAGCTTTGTGGGATCTTAAAGTAGAGAGTAACATGCTGAAGTTAGCATTTCAGACCATCTTGGCTGCAGTATAGAGAAATGAATGGGGCAGGGTGACCCTAGTTAGGTTACTCCAGTAGATCAGGATAGCAGTGATAGTAGGATGTATTAAAGTAGCCATAATGAGAATGGAAGAAGGCAGATAATAAGAAAAATGATTATGGCTAGGAATGTAGCTTGGTGGTAGAGTGCTTGCCTAGCATGCATGAAGCCCTGGATTTGATTTCTCAGTACCACACAAACAGAAAAAAACAGAAGTAGTGCTGTGGCTCAAATGGTAAAGTTCTAGCCTCCAGCAAAAGCAGCTCAGGGACAGTGTCTAGGCCCTGAGTTCAAGCCATAGGACTGGCAAAAGAAAAAAAAAAAAAAAAAAAACCAAAAAAATCACTGGTCCACAATATTTGCTCAATAAACAGTTATATCTTATGCTCCTCTTCCTCATTATTGTTAGCATGGACGATGGAGGGTTCACGCCATTCATAAGAAGTTCCAAACTCCAGAAAATGGAGTCAGACTGAATGAAATTCTAATCTTGTGTGACCTGGATGATCTCGAGCCTCAAAGCTCCATTTTTTATCGGTAAATGTTAACACCTATCTCATAGTGAGAGGCAGAAAGCCCTGGCATGCAAGAGACATTTACTAATAGCTAATCTCCTCACATTCCTTCTTCCATATTTGTTGGTTCAGAACTAGGCAAATCAGGTGACTCTTGACATCTTGTTTTCCCCTTTCCCCTTGTCAGAGGCAACCCATAATACAGCACTGCTCTGTGAATGCTGAGGCCTGGGGAGTGGGGCAGGGGGGCATGGTGGGCAAATATTTGCTCATCCTTCTGTACAGATTACTCTTTTTCAAAGTAAACTTTGCCTTTCCCATTTGGCCCTCTAGTCAGTAGAAGGAATCTTGGGGTCATCACGGAAAACCTGACCTGTAAAGGGAGGGGAGGAGCAAGCCAAGCAGTAGACTTTGGGGCTCTAACTTGTCCTTCCTGAAGGACTCCTGTGGGCCTGTTGGAGCAGCTTCTGAATCTCTATCACAACATCTCTCTACAGTCACCAGATTAATCCTTCCCTGCTTCGTGCTGTGTGGCTGGCTTACTGGTCTCTCAGCCTCACCTCCTCCCTTCTCATGGCAGCCTATATCTTCCTATAGTCTCTTTCTACCTGGTACATCGGCATAGGCAGCTTCCTATGCCAGGAATGTACCATTCCATCTCCACTCCCTTTCGTTGATCCAGTCTAGCTGAAAAATGCCATTTATTCCACCTCCAGGGAAATTCTCACATCACCTCTCACAAGAAATTCTCTGTCCTCCCCTATGACATAGATTATTAATTTAACTCTGGTGTCCTGCAATGGGCCCTTGAACAAACTGGCAGCAAAACACACAGCACAGGGTGTTTACCAGCTTGTCTTCTGAGCTTCTTCCAGACAAGGAACCTGACTTACTCGTCATTGACACCTCAATGTGTTGGACAGTGTCTGGCACCATAGAGCCTTCAGGGTGGATAGAATTAAGAAATGAGTGGCTACATGGTTGGGTGGATGGGCAGGTGGACAGACTTATAGAGCTTGTTAAGCCAGTAGCTACAGCGTCACTAAAGTGAGAACCTCAATTTCATGCCAGCCATTTTTTTTTGTTGTTTGAGAACGGAAGTGCATAACCTTTCTCCCCGAATAAACATTTATCACCACCAGACTAATAATCCTGAAATTCTGGAAGAATGTAGTGCTTTCCTATCAGAAATATACATATACAGAGGAAAGGAGGGAGAGAAAAAGAAAGAGAGAGAGAGAGTAAAAGTGGTGAGCCGGGTACTGGTGGCTCATGCCTGTAATCCTACTTACTCAGGATCATGGTTCAAAGCCAGCCCTGGCAGGAAAGTCCATGAGACTTAACTCCAGTTAACCACCAGAAAACTGGAAGTGGTGCTGTGGCTCAAGGGGTAGAGCACTAACCTTGAGCTGAAGAGCTGAGGGACAGTGCCCAGGACCAGAGTTCAAGCCCCACGACTGACCACCCCCCCACCAAAAAAAAAAAAAAAGTGGCAGTGCCTGTACCTTAACATTATCATCTTTATAAATCTTAAAATTCTCCATGGTTCCTCTGATAGTTCTTTCTTGAAGTGCTTCAGACATCAGCATCCATCGGGAGGGAAGTGTCAGCAGCTCCTTTAAATAGGAAATCTCTTCTATGATATGGGAGTCACTGGCCCATACGCATATCTAGGACCAAATAAATCTTTCTTTGTTCTCTAAGTACTTTAGCATGTTATTCTGGGAAAATTAGACTCAAATGGGTATTATAATCATCTTGCATGAGAGGAGTTATATAACAAGACCATTTCATCCTTCTGAGGGCATCTTCAGATTTCTGATAGCACATGGCCCACTTCCCCTTTTTTTTTTTTTTTTTGTCGGTCGTGGGGCTTGAACTCTGGGCCTGAGCGCTGTCCCTCAGCTCTTCAGCTCAAGGCTAGCGCTCTACCACTTGAGCCACAGTGCCACTTCCGGTTTTTCTGGTGGTTTATTGGAGATAAGAGTTTCACGGACTTTCCTGCCCTGGCTGGCTTTGAACCGAGATCCTCAGATCTCAGCCTCCTGAGTAGCTAGGATTACAGGCGTGACTCACCGGCGCCCGGCCCACTTCCCCTTTATTGGTTGCTCAACACCAGCTGGATTTAGAGGTACACAATCTGTGTGTGGACCCGCCATATTCCTAGGGTCAGGAATGGTGCTAGGTCCAGGCTTCGGCCTTAGCCAAACTTTATCCAACATAGTTTCTTCTCTCTGTCAACTAGTGGTTCCTAGATTATTTTGAAGCACTAAGACCTACTCTCTCATAGGACTAAGACATCTAGCTGGAACTGGCCTAGAATAGCATAGAAATGCCTACTCCCTAACCTGGGGCTTTGTCTTTCTCTGCAGTCCCATCCCTTGTACCTGTGCAATGCCAGTGATGACGACAACCTGGAGCCTGGATTCATCAGCATCGTCAAGCTGGAGAGTCCTCGACGGGCCCCTCGGCCCTGCCTGTCACTGGCCAGCAAGGTAGAGTCATACTTGATCCCTGTACACATGCCTTGATCTGCCCAGCTCTGGGCTGGAAGAAGCCTCTATTCTCTGTTGTCCCCTTGTCTTCCAAGAGTGATCTATGCCATTTCTTCAGGTTTTCCTAACATGACCAGTTAGGGAGAGGTAGAAATGCCTTTCTCCACCAATCAGCATTAGAAGAACTTTGTGGCTTTTATCCCAGCATAGGCTTGGTCTTCCCCTCCATCACTGAGAAGGGCCAAGCCCCTTTCCCTTCCCAGCACCACAGCAAAGACAAGTTTTTTCTGCTGGTATTAGTGGCTCACATCTGTAATCCTAGCTACTCAGGAGGCGGAGATCTGAGGTTCAAAGCCAGCCCCAGCAGGAAAGTCTTTGAGATTCTTACCTCTAATTAACCACCAGAAAACCAGAAGAGTTGTGGCTTAGCGGGGTAGAGTACTAGACTTGAGCAAAAAAGCTCAGGGTCAGCACCCAGGCCCTGAATTCAAATCCCACAACTGACCCAGAGAGAGAGAGAGAGATTTTTTCCATCCTCAGAAACATTGACAGAGCACTTCCGCGCTGTTATAATAACCCTTAAAATGATCACATGTTGCTTCTGAGGTTGCAAAATGCTGGCCTGCAAGCTAGCTTTGGTTTGCACCAGGGTTGTATTTAGCTCATGCTAAATGTAAGTAACCTTTTCAAATAAATTAATTGCCACATTAAAAAAAATAAAAATGCTAGCAAGAGCCAGGATCACACCTAAAATTTTAGCTACTTGGGAGGCTGAGATCTGAGGATCATGCAGGAAAGTCTGTGAACGTATTATTTCTAATTAACCAGTGAAGACAGAATTGGAGCTTTGGCTCAAGTGGTAGAATGAAAAAAGCTGTAGGACAGCACCTAGGCCTTGAGTTCAAGCCCCAGTATACACACACACACACACACACACACACACACATTTTTTTTTAATACTAGCAAGTGCTAGGCCCTTAGTTCAAACCCCAGTACTGAAAGAAAAAAAAAAAAACTTGAAAAAGTTCTATTAAAATTCAGTTTTTCACTGGGCATTAGTGACTCATGCTTGTCATCCTAACTACTCAGGAGGCTGAGATCTGCGGATCATAGTTTGAAGTCAGCCCCGGGCAGGAAAGTCTGTGAAACCCATCTCCAATTAACCATCAAAATGCCTGAAGTAGAACTGTGGCTTAAGTGGCAGTATGCTAGCCTTGAGCAAAAATGCTCAGGGACCATGCTCAGGCCCTGAGTTCAAGCCTCAGGACTGGCACACACACATACACACACAATCTAAAATTCTGCCACCCAGAGTTCCCACTATTCTTCAGCCACAGTATGTTGATTTCACAGCATGGGGACACCTGGCAAGCACCCAGGGTGCAGCCAAAGATTTTCCCCTCATCCTCTGGAGGGCAGCTCTCCTGAAGGATAGTTGAGACGTGGACACGTGAAGAGAGGAACACATGGTCAGTGCCCTTTCCAGTGCTTTTGGGCCTCTGTTTCTATTGCTATAAAACGGGATTTGAATTGCTTATCCCCAAGATTTTTGAAAGGATGAAAATAATGTATCTTGGGGCTGGGAAGATGGCTCAGTGGTAGAGTGCTTGCCTTGCATGCATGAGGCCCTGGGTTCGATTCCTCAGCACCACATAAGCAGAAAAAGCCAGAAGTGGTGCTGTGGCTCAAGTGGTAGAGTGCTAGCCTTGAGCTGAAGAACTGAGGGACAGCGCCCAGGCCCAGAGTTCAGGCCCCACAACTGGAAAAAAAAAACAATAATGTATCTTAAGTGCCAAATAGTGCCTAAGCCAAAACAAACACAAAACCAAAAACTGTTAGGGGGTTAGAAGGTGTGCCTTGGCAACCGCCTTATAACCACAGCCCTTGTTTCCTCTCCGCACTCGTACCTTCCCTTACCTGGTTTGTGACTCAGACTTTTTGTCTCTGTGACAAAATACCTAAAAAGAAAACAAAACAAAACTTAAGGGGCTTGAACTCAGGGCCTGGGTATTGCTCCTGGAGCTTCTTTCTTTACTTTCTTTCTTTCTTCTCCTCTTCTTCTTCTTGTTTTTTTTTTTTTTTTTTTTTTTGGGGTCCGGTCGTGGGGCCTGAACTCTGGGCCTGGGCGCTGTCCCTCAGCTCTTCAGCTCAAGGCTAGCGCTCTACCACTTGAGCCACAGCACCACTTCCGGCTTTTTTCTTTTTGTTTATGTGGTGCTGAGGAATCGAACCCAGGGCCTCAGGCATGCAAGGCAAGCGCTCTACCACTGAGCCACCTTCCCAGCCCCTTCTTCTTCTTCTTGCTAGTGCTTTACCATTTGAGCTACAGCTCTGCTTCCAGCATTTTGGGTAGTTTATTGGAGATAAGAGTCTCACGGACTTTCTTGTGTGGGCTGGCTTCCAACTGCGATTCTCAAATCTCAGCCTCTGAGTAGATAGGATTACAGGTGTGAGCCGCCAGCACCTGGCTAAGACTTTTATTTTGACTGGACAGTTTCAGAGGTTTCAGTCTATTGTAGACTGATTTCCTGTTTCTGGGTCCGTGATCAAGCCAAACATCATGATGGAAAGGGCAGGGCAGAGCAGGGCAGCTCATATGATGATGACCAGGAAGTCTTTGCTAGCAGACTTTCTCTTTTATCACCTTCTGCTCCATCTAGGCCCCCATCCTATGAGATGATCGGATGACACTGCCCACTTTCCCCTCATCGTTAATCCTTTCTCTGGAAGCGCTCCTCACAGACGCACCCAAAGAGTATGCTTTTACTAATCTTCTAGATGCTCAATCCAGTCAAATTGGCATCTAAGATTACCCATCACCCCTGACTTCCCTTCATCCCTCTGGGAATTGCTCAAGTCTTAAGCTCACCAACTTCTGTCTGGTCAGGGTCAGGGATTCCCTTAGGTCTCACCCTATGATCTGCCTCGGTAGCTCCTTTCTGGGTCACCCTGGTTGAGCCAGGTCTCAGAGGTCTGAGATGTGGGTCTTTAATCTACTTCCAGTATTTTGGAAGCCCCATAGGCTTGACTGAAATACTAATTTTTTGCTTTTGGTTTCTGGGATTCTCCCAGTTCAAATTTTTAATGCAAGTTATAGGAAATGAATTATACATAAAAATGTGGTAGAAAACCGGGAACAGTGGCTTATGCCTGTAATCCTAGCTACTTAGGGGGCGGAGATGTAAGGATTATGGTTCAAAACCTGCCTGGGCAGGAAAGTCCATGAGACTCTTATCTCCAATAAACCACCAGAAAACCGGAAGTGGCAATGTGGCTCAAGTGGTAGAGCACTAGCCTTGAGCTGAAGAGCTGAGGGACAATGCCTAGCCCCAGAGTTGTTTTTTTTTTTTTTTTTTTTTTAAGTGGCCTATACAGGTGTGTGTCTGTACCAATTGGATTTTTTTGCTCATAGCAAGTTCTCTACTACTTGAGCTATGCGTCCATTTCCAACTTTTTGTTTTGCTTTTTTTTTTTTAATTGGAGAATGAGTCTCCTGGGCTAGCCTTAGGTGGCTCAGACCTATAATCCTAGTTACTTAGGAGACTGAAGTCTGAGGATTGAGGTTTGAATCCAAGGACCATGATACTCTCATTTCCAATTAACCACCAAAAACCTGGAAGTAGAGCTGTGGCTCAAAGGATAGAACACTAGACTTGAACAACAACAACAAAAAAGCTCCAAGATAGTGTCCAAGCCCTGAGTTCAAACCCCAGCATCACCCCCTACCCCCCTAATCCCCCCCACACACAAAGAGGAGGGATAATAATAGGACTTATACGTACTCATGAGTATTTAATGCGATAGTACAGATGGAAGTTCTTACTCTATTCTAAGTACATAGTGATTGATTATTCAATAAGTTATTATAATCAATATTCTGTCATAATAGACATCATCACATTTTATTTTATTTTATTTTATTGTCAGTCGTAGGGCTTGAACTCTGGGCTTGGGCGCTATCCCTGTGCTCTTCAGCTCAAGGTGAGTGCTCTACCACCTGAGCCACAGCGCCACTTCTGGTTTTCTAGTGGTTTATTGGAGATAAGAGTCTCATGGGCTTTTCCTGCCCGGGCTGGCTTTGAACCACGATTCTCAGATGTCAGCCTCCTGAGTAGCTAGGATTACAGGCGTGAGCCCGGCTATCATCACATGTTATGTATGTATATGAGGTTTGGTGGGGTAGAGGAGGCACTGGGGAGTGAACCCAGAGCCTTGTATATGCTAAGTAGCCACTCCACCCCTGAATTCGGTTCTCATCCTTCATCCTATGTGTTTAGTTTGAATTTTCCCCCCTATGGGTTATCTCTCTTGTTTGTTTCAGAAAGCTTCATCATAATTCTGGATTTACCCTCTTTTGGACTTACCCACTTCTGCCCAGTTGCCCTAATTGGTTTTTGTTTCCTTATTAACAACTCCTCATCCTGTCCTACTGATAAGGCAGGCCCTTATCACCTCATGCTTGAAATAGGGCAGTGGCAAGAGTTATATCTGGAAAGACTCAGATGGGTGCAAGTCCTGCAGCTCTTACCAGGGTGGCCACTATCCTGTGGTTTTAAAAGCCAGCATTCTGGAGGTAGAAGTCCCGAATGGAGACCTATTGACAATATTTACCAGTTGGTGACTCTGGGGAAGTTATTCTGTGTCTCTGGGTCTTGTTTTCCTCAACTCTAAATGGGACTGTTAACTGTCCTGTAGAGTATTAATAATGAACTCATGTATGCAAAGCATGTGGTAATAGTTGATATAATCATAGCTAACATGTCCTATGTGCCAGGCACAATTATGTGTTTTATATAGATTAATTTATATAGTCCTTACAACAGTCTTATGAAGTAGGTCTTATATATTATCCCAGCTTAAGGAAGGAGTAGTTGAGCATCTTACCCTCAATCTAACAGGTATTATGGTAGTAGTGCCAGACTCAAGCCGAGGGAGCCTGAGCTAGGTGGATATCAATAGCAGCTCTGTCCCTTTTCCTTCCTCCTACCCTCACTCCGAGCCTGGAGGACTCCCACCTCTCCTATTGAATCTTTCCTGCTTGGCACTGTCTAGCCAACTCATAAGGGCAGAAATCCTTCCCTTTAGCATACCGCCAGCAGCTAGGATCTGTGTCCATGCTTTCAGCACCGTGGGCTGCTATGGCTAGATTTCATTGAGGTGCTAGAGGAGGGATAGGGGACAAGGGTCCCTCTTGCCTCTTCCCACACCTCTATGTGAGCAGCCTCACATTTGTTTTGTGTACTGAATATTTGTGTCAGTCTGGAAGGGAAGAAATGGATAATAGAGAGAAAAGCTTTCTGAAGTGGGAGAAAATAAAAGGTTGGATTACTGGCTAATTCCTTTCATTTGCAGTCTAGGTTATTACCTAGCATTATAACATTGTGTTATAATATTATGTGCATAGAGGCTTTATCTCTCTGACTAGATTCTGAGCTGTTCTGAAGGGTCTGGCCTTCCCTGGCTTGGTGAATGGTAGGTGCTTTCTCACTCATTTAAGTTGAGCTGGGTATGTACAGAGACTGCCACTGTAGTCTGGAAAAGATAATCTAAGGACCAAGGAATTACAAAAGCTGACCAATGGAGCAAGAGGCTGCATTTTAGCTCACTTTCCTGATGGTTGTAATAGCTCTGAGTGTCAGAGGTTGTGGCAGCCTTGCTTGCTGCCCCAGGGGCAAGAGAAGTCTGAAACATCCCAAGTCATGAGGCTTGAACTCTGGGTGCTGTCCCTGGGGTCTTTTACTCAAGGCTAGTGCTCTACCATTTTGAGCCACAGCGCCACTTCTGGTTTTCTGGTGGTTTATTGGAGAGAAGAGTCTCATGGACTTTCCTGCCTGGGCTGGTTTTGAACCTCAATTCTTAGATCTCAACCTCCTGAGTAGCTAGGATTATAGGTGTGAGCCACCAGGGCCTAGTTTGACTTGCCTTTTGACAGTCCAGTCTTGCAGTTCTCAGGGCCTGGCCTTCCTCTCGCTGTCTTCCAGGTTTCACTCCCCAAAGAAGCTGCCCCCCCTTTTTTTTCTATCTGTCTCCTGTTCTCTTAGGTGCGAATGGACAGGAGTCCCCAAGGGCCCCAGATTAAGTTGCCTTCTATTCTCAAATCTTGTTTTTTTATTCCTAGAACTCTGGACACAGAGACTCACTGCTTGAAAGTCCTGATTGTTTTCTCCTGTTGGCCAAGTCTCTGGGCTCTTTGATCACTTTTATAACTTTGTAATTATGGACCGCAATGGGCTAGGGTGTTTGAACGTCACAGTAATTGCTTTCTACTGTTCCCAACTCAATTCTTCAAAGACAGAAGGGTGGAGAAGTTGAGAAAAGCTCCAAAGAAGTGAGTCTTTTGCCCTCCCTCATGTTGCGTTCTTCCAAGGCCATGCTGGGTCTAAGGATGGAAAAACAGAGGCCCCAAGAATCTCCCTACTTCCTGTCAAGCCCCTAGGATGTGAGATCACAAGTAGGGTTCTCCTATTAGGGGTTCCTTTCCCTGTTCCCATCCCCTTACTTAGAGGGCTCTAGAAACTTCTTCCTGCTTGGAAGAGCCTAGATAGAGTAGACTTTCTAGGAGACGATAGGCAGGAGGAAGATAGAAGATGTGACTTCACAGTGTCTCCAGCGATGCATTCTGGAGTCTATGAATTCCCCCCAAGACTTCAGGGTGGGAGATCATTAGCAGAGACTGGCCTACATGCCTGTAGATGGCCAACCCAGCTTCTAGGAAAAGGAAGAGGGAAGTTTTCCTCCTTGACACAATTGGACTCCATGTATGTGTTTCATTGCCCCTCCCCACTGCTGCAGGCAGCCGGTCCTGAGGGGCCTCTTGGCCCCTGCCACAGCCTGAGAAGGGGGGGGGGCGGTGAACAAGGAGCTGCTCCAGAGCCTGGCATGGCAGGAGACCTGCCCTGACAGGCTCTCCTGGAGAAGGTAGGCAGAGATCAAAGAGCTGAGAGTATGAGTAAGTCCCAGCTCTGGCTCCTCAGCTGCCACCAGGACTTTGCAGACAGGTTAACTCCTTCACTGCCTTTGGGAAAAAACGCTGCTAGCATGGGCCCGCGGAGGAAAGTCACCGCCTGATGCCGTTACACCTGACCCTTTGCTGTGCTCCTGCGCAGCTGTTACTCGCAGCGCCTGTGCCTGTCCGTTGGTTGCCGTTGAGTCTCCACCCCACCCTTAACTCTTATCTCCCTTCCCCTGGCCCCACACAGGGTCTCTGAGATTCCAGAGCTTCTCAGCTTCTTCTTAATTCCTCCACTGCTATCTGACTCACTGCATTCTGCCACCCCAAGCCTGTTCTCAGAGTCATTGGTGAATATGACCATGTCCATGCGCACCCTGTGTCCTTGTGGGAACACAACTTGAGTCCCTCCCTTCTTGATTCACCATAAAGGAGAGGATGGGGACTAAGATACTGGACTCCTCTTTGAATTGGAGCCAAAGAATACTGGGAGCATGATGGGAATGTAGCTTAGTGGTAGAGTGATTGCCTAGTATGCATGAAGCCCTGGGTTCGATTCCTCACTACCACAAAAACAGAAAAAGACAGAAGTGGCGCTGTGGCTCAAGTGGTAGAGTGCTAGCCTTGAGCAAAAGAAGCTCAGGGACAGTGCCCAGGCCCTGAGTTCAAGCCCCAGGACTGGAAAGAAAGGAAGGAAGGAAGGAAGGAAAGAGGGAAGGTAGGAAGAAAGGAAGGAAGGAAGGAAGGAAGGAAGGAAGGAAGGAAGGAAGGAAGGAAACACTGGGACCTAGAGTGACAGGGAGACTGCCTGCAGCTTTGCCATGGAGGGTGACCCACAGGGGGACCTCCAGTGAGCCCTTCTTGTCAGGTAAGGATGGGCTCTGTTCAGGAGTTCTTCCCTCTGCTCTCCTCTCTTCCTGTGTTCTCCACCCATTGGGTACTGATCGCACGCTGCTCTCGGGCTCAGGCCACTTGACCTGTGTCCTATTTATGTTTAGCCCTAAAAAGCCAGAAACGCCACCTGCCTGGATCAAAGTAAAGCCTGGATGAGGGATGGTTCAGTCACAGAAGGAAAGACTGCACATTGTCCTTTGAAGGCAGTGTTCTAGATGAGCTCTGGGACAGGGCAGGCAAGGGTGTCTGACTCCTTGCACATCTATTTGTGGGTGTGGGGAGCTGCAATGTGTGCAAAATCTCGGAAGGGATGTGCCAATGAGGGGTTAAGCGCCGGCCATAGACAGACCTTATCCTGATGTGACTCCAGCCAGGTCTGTTGCTTGTCTCTGCAGGCCCGGATGGCGGGTGAGCGAGGAGCCAGTGCTGTCCTCTTTGACATCACTGAGGATCGAGCTGCTGCTGAGCAGGTACCCAGGGACATCCAGGATGGGGGTTGGATGGTAGAAGGCAAAGTCCCCAGGGGACAGAGCAATCACAAAGGCACGTGGTGGCACTTTCTCCTCTGCAGCTACAGCAACCCCTGGGGCTGGCCTGGCCAGTGGTGCTGATCTGGGGTAATGATGCTGAGAAGCTGATGGAGTTCGTGTACAAGAACCGCAAGGCCCACGTGAGGATTGAACTGAAGGAGCCTCCAGCCTGGGTAAACATTCCCCCCCCCCCCGCCCCCCATTCCCCGTCTTGCACCAGCCTCTACTTTGTTTTGTAGCAACTTCCACTGAAAGTCCTCAGCCTCCAGAGACCAACAGAAACCCCCTAAATCAGGTGCTAGTGGCTCATACCTGTAATCACTCAGGAGGCTGAGATCTGAAGATCACAGCTCAAAGCCAACCCCACAAGCACTAACAAGCTAGACATGGAGCTATGGCTCAGTGGGTAGAGTACCAGCCTTGAATGAAAATGCTAAAGAGACAGTGCCCTCGTCCTGACTTCAAGCCCCAGTACTAGCACCAAAAGAAGAAAAAGAAACAGAAACACGTTTGGGTGTCAGTAGTTCATGCCTGTAATCCTAGCTACTCAGGAGACTAAAATTTAAGGATCACTGTTTGAAGCCAGCCCAGACAGAAAAGTCCGTGTAATTTTTATCTCCAATAAACTACTAAAAAGCCTGAAGTGCAGCTGTGGCTCAAGTGGTAGAGCATTAGCCTTCAACAAAAGAAGCCCAGGGACAGCTCCCAGGCCCTAAGTTCAAGCCCTAGGACAACCTCAGGACCCTTTTCCCTAAATGAATGGGTTTCTAGATAGTATTTCTCACAGCCTCATCTGGAGAATGCTCTCCAGTGAGGGCCACTAGGCAAGGAGAAAGCGCCTTGTTCCACTTCTGCGATCAGCCTCACCTCATCATTTCCCACACGGAAGACTCAAAGGAACTCTCCACCTTCTATCTCTTTGCTCTTGTATTTCCTCCCAAATTGGCCTAATTCCTTCCAGAAGTATGACCCTGTCCCTCTCATCTGCACCCTTCCAGCCAGATTATGATGTGTGGATACTCCTGACAGTGGTGGGCACCATCTTTGTGATCATCCTGGCTTCAGTGCTGCGGATCAGGTGCCGCCCTCGCCATAGCAGGCCGGTAAGGAGTGGGCGCTCCCTGGCAGAGGTGTGGATGGGGTGGGGGGGGGAGAAGGAGAAAGCGAGGAAGGCAAGGTGAAACCATCTACATTGAAACACTCCAGCTGCAATATGTGTTGATCTCTGGCATCCCCTTTTCCCACATTGCTCATTCATTCATTCAACATACATGCTGAGCATGTCAGGTTCTGTGTGTGGGTGCTGGGAATAGCATAATAAGCAGAAGTCAAAAAGAAAAAAAAAAGTCCTCTACCATCAAGAGTTTCCATTTTAGTGTTCTCTTGTGTAACAAATGGACAATAAACAAAATAAAAAGTAAATATGTAATTTTTGTTGGTGGTAGTATGTGCTTGCTACAGAATAAAATAGCAAAGAAGAGAGGAAATGTAAGGGAGATAAGGTTAATTTTTAAAAGCAAATCCAGCCAGGTGCCAGTAGTTCACACCTGTAATCCTAGCTACTCAGGAGGCTGAGATCTGAGGATCACGGTTCAAAGCCAGCCTGGGCAGGAAAGTCCATGAGACTCTTATCTCCAATTAGCCATCAGAAAACCGGAAGTGGCGCTGTGGGTCAAGTGACAGAGCACTGGCTTTGAGCTGAAGAGCGCAGGGGACAGCACCCAGGCCTAGTGTTCAAACCCCACGACCAACAACAACCCCCAAAAAAATACAAACCCTTGAGGTGAAGGGTATCTGGCATGTCCTATAAATAGTATGAGACTGTGTGGCTGGGCTAGAGTGACAGGGCAGAACAGGAGGTTCATGTGAGGATTCATGGAGCCCCATTGTACTGTATTGTGCAGGCTGTTGTCAGGACTTGGTTTTTATGCGGGGTGAAATGGGAGCCAGTGGAGGATTTTGAGTAGAAGGGGTGTCATGATCTCACTTAAGCTTCAAATGATCACTATCACCACTGCGATGAGAAAGAAACCACAGGAAGGCAAGGCTGCAACACGAGGAACCAGCTCAGAGCTATTCTAGGAATCCAGGAGCTTGGTAATGGTCATTTGGGTTAGGCAGCAGGGAACGTGATCAGTAGTTACTTGGTATATTTTGAAGGCAAAGACAATAAGTTTACTAATACATTGATTGAGGGATATAACAGAGAAGATGCACCAAGATTTTTGGCCTGAGCAATTAGAAGAATAAAATTGTCATTTAGGAGCCAAGGAAGTAGTTACTGGGGTCAGAAGTTCAGTTTCGGGGCAGAGGGGGTAGTAGGGCGGGGGGCAGTGTTCACAGCTACACATGTCCATGTGATCTAACTTGGTGACTGGGAATTGAGTCCTAGCTTGGGCCCAGAAGTGAGAGATGAAGGATGAGGAGTCCTTGCACCATTCTGAATTGCACTCTTCTTCCCAGGACCCTCTTCAGCAGCGCACGGCCTGGGCCATCAGCCAGCTGGCCACCAGGAGGTACCGGACCAGCTGCAGGAGGGCTCGGGCTGAGCAGACTGATTCAGTCAGTAGCTGTAGCTCTGCCCCCATGTGTGCCATCTGCCTGGAGGAATTCTCTGAGGGGCAGGTAAGGCAGGCTTTGTGGCTTAATTCCATAAACAGGCTAGGGAGAGAGATGGGAGCCGGTGTGAGGGTGGGTATCTAGGGCTGGCTATATCTGTCCTTTGTGTCCTGTGTGGGGCAGAGGCAAAGCATCTCCCTGAGGATTGGTCACTTTTCTGGGCCTTCCAGGTAAAAGAGTAGATTTGTTGAGATGGAACTATGTGCCAGGCCACAGTATTTCAGATTCATTAGCTCATTTTAGTCTCAGGACAATCGCGATAAGGGTAGATTAGTTTACAACAGAAAACTGACCATTAAGAAATTTTCCAACCAGGTGCTAGTGGTTCATGTCTACAATCCTAGCTATTCAGGAGGCTGAGATCTGAGGATCACAGTTCAAAGCCAGCCTGGGCAGGAAAGACCGTGAGACTCCTATCTCCAATAAACCACTAGAAAACCAGTGGTGCTGTAGCTCAAGTGGTAGAGTGCTTGCCTTGAGCTGAAGAGCTGAGGGACAGTGTTCAGGCCCAGAGTTCAAGCCCCACCACTGACAAAAAAAAAAAATCCCATTTCAAAAGTAATCAGAGCCTGGCAATAGTGGCTCACACCTGTAATCCTAGCTACTTAGGAGGCTGAGATCTGAGGATTGCCAGCCCGGCAGGAAAAGTCTGTGAGATTCTCATCTCCAATGACTCAAGTGGTAGAGCACTAGCCTTGAGCTGAAGAGTTCAGGGACAGTGCCCAGGCCCAGAGTTCAGGCCCCACGACCAACAACAACAATAATAATAATAATAATAATAATAATAATCAGAGCAGCCAGGTGCCAGTGGCTCATGCCTATAATCCTAGCTACTCAGAAGGCTAAGATCTGAGGCTCATGGTTCAAAGCCAACCTGGACAGGAAAGTCTGTGAGACTCTTATCTTCAATTAACATAAAACTCCTTAATACTACCAATAAAAAATAAAAAAGAATCAGAGCAAAAAGAGCTGGAAACATGGTTCAAGTAGTAGCTTGCGTGCCTAGCAAGCTCAAGGCTTTGAGTTCAAATCCCAGTACCACATACAAAAAAAAAAGTCCAGGTCCAAAGTTATGCAGCTAAATGGCAAAATTCAAATCTACTTCATTCCAAAGTCCAGACTTCAGCTATTCTCATGTGAGGTCTTTTACAAGTAGATGGATGCAAAAAGAAAAGACCAAAGGGAGCCTAAGGGATGATCCTGCTCCTGAAATCATTGTTTTGGACCCTTTGTTTTCTCCAGGAACTACGGGTCATTTCCTGCCTCCATGAGTTCCATCGTACCTGTGTGGACCCCTGGCTACATCAGCATCGGACCTGTCCCCTCTGCATGTTCAACATCATAGGTAGGAAATGAGCTGAGGCCTCCCCTGTGTGCAGGCAGACGGGTCTAAAACATGGCCGTCTTCCTGTGGGGAAGCTGAGAAGGAGCTACCACCATAGTGATTTCGTCTGCACTACTCAAGAACACTTTATCTGCAGGGAAAGAATATTCACACCGTAAGAGATCTGTGTTGCCTTTATTGAGCAGTGGCTCAGACTTGTGATCCTAGCTACCTGGGAAATAGAGATAGGCAAGAAGACGGCTCACAAGCAGAAAAAGGTTTAGAGACTCCATCTCAACCAATGGCTGGAGCGTTATGGTGTACCCCTGCCCTCCCAAATGACAGGGGAAGCCCAAAGGCTGGGCAAGGTGGCATATGCCTGTCATCCTAGTGACAGAAGGAAGACAAATGGAAAAATCCCTTTTTAGGCTTGCCAGAGCATAAAAAAGCAAGACTCCCTCTAGAAAATAACCAACCCTAAAAGGGGGCTCAAGTGGCAGAGCACCTGCCTTTCAAGTATGAGGCCTTGAGATCAAACCACAGTACATCAAAAACAAAACAAAACGAAATCCTTATTTGTATTTTTAGTGGCACTTCCCAGGTAGACAGATTGCCTGGAGGTAGCAAGGCTGTCCTAAGCATGGACAAGTTAGGGTTGGCCTTGGTACCCACCTACCCCACCCTACCCCCAAACTCTGAGCTCAGGCTATATGCAGATTCAGCTACAGCCACAACTTTTCTGAAGGCATTCTCTCTATGTAATGGAATCAAATGCTTGTGCTCTTCATTCTTTTTGTGCAGAGGGAGATTCATTCTCCCAGGCCTTGGGACCATCTCAATCTTATCAGGAACCAGGCAGGAGACTCCATCTCATTCGCCAGCATCCAGGCCATGCTTACTACCACCTCCCTCCTGCCTACCTGTTGGGCCCTCCCCGGAATTCAGCGGCCCGGCCCCCACGACCTAGACCCTTCTTACCATCCCAGGAGCCAAGCATGGGCCCTCGACATCAACGCCTCTCCAGGGCTCCGCATGCCCAGGCTCCCTGCGAGCAGCCGCATCTGGCAGTGACCCAGCACCCCTATGCACAGGGCTGGGGCCTGAGCCGACTGCAGTGCCCTTCTCAGCATCCCACAGCCTGCCCCGTGCCCCTGCGCAGGGCCAGGCCTCACGACAGCAGTGGGTCTGGAGAAAGCTACTGCACAGAACGCAGTGGCTACCTGGCCGATGGGCCAGCCAGTGACTCCAGCTCCGGGCCCTGCCATGGTTCCTCCAGTGACTCAGTGGTCAACTGCACGGACATCAGCCTACAGGGCATCCATGGCAGCAGCTCCACCTTCCGCAGCTCCCTGAGCAGCGACTTTGACCCCTTGGTATACTGTGGCCATGAAGGGGATCTGCCAGGCAAGGGGAGGCACCCAACTGTGGCCTCTAGACCCCGTTCTCTGGACTCAGTGGTGCCCACAGGAGAAACTCAGGTTTCCAGCCATATCCACTACCACCGGCACCGGCATCACCACTACAAAAAGAGGTTCCAGTGGCATGGCAGGAAGCCTGGACCAGAAACTGGGGTCCCCCAGTCTAGGCCTGTTTCTCGGACACAGACACAGCCTGAGCCACCTTTGTCTGGTCAACAAATCAGCAGACCCGACCTAGCAACCCCATCAAGCCAGCTCCCCAACCCGCCACGGCTCAGAGCCCTTACAGAGCCAGCCCCTGGAGCCGCCGGAGCCACCGAAGCCACCGAACCTGGCAGACCTGGCAACTTGCAACCCAGCAGCCTTTGCAACTTGCAGAAATCTAGCCTCCCCGCACGACATCCACAGAGGAAACGGCAAGGGGGTCCCTCAGAGCCCAGGCCAGCCTCTCGGCCCCAGGATTTGACTATGCACCCAGTTTGTCAGATCTCCCCACCTTACAGCCCCAGCTTGGCATACCCTTGGCCCCCAGAAGCCCACCCACTAATCTTCAGACCTCCAGGCATGGATAGGAAGCTGCTATCAGAAGCCCCAGACTCCGGCTACCCAAGCTCACAGCCAGTGTGGTTATGTCTGACTTCACGCCGGCCCCTAGGACCAGAAAGGCCAGGGGAAGGGCCTTCTGAATGGAGTTTTGGTACTCCAGAGGGCAGGCCGTGCCCTTACCCACACTGCCAGGTGCTACCAGCCCAACCTGGTGAGTTTTCAGAGGGAGTGGATGTGGTGGGGAAAAGATACTTGAGTTGGATATTTCAAGGCAGGTGAAGTCAACCAACAAGGTTTGATGATGGCTGAGAAGTATACAACAGAGGTGGCATTTGAAATGCTGAATAACTGTCAGGCATTGGTGGTTTGTGCCTGTAATCCTAGCTACTCAGGAGGCTGAGATCTGAGGATCACTGTGTGAAGCCAACCAGGGCAGGAAAAGAATTTGCTTAGACTTTTTTTTTTTTTTTTTTTGGTCATGGGGCTTGAACTCTGGGCCTGGGCACTGTCCCTGAGCTCTTCAGCTCAAGGGGAGCGCTCTACCACTTGAGCCACTGCGCCACATCTGAGTGGTTTATAGGAGATAAGAGTCTCATGGACTTTCCTGCCTGGGCTGGCTTTGAACTGCGATCCTCAGATCTCCACAGGTGTGAGTCACTAGCACCCAGCTCTGTGAGACTCTTATCGCCAATAAACTACTCAGAAATAGCCAGAAGTGGCATTGTGGTTCAAGTGGTAGAGTGCTAGCTTTGAGCAAAAGAAGCTCAGTAACAGTGCGCAGGCCCCAAGTTCAAGCCCTAGATGGGCACCAAAAAAGAAAAAGAAAATACTGAATAACTAACATAGCAAACAGTGTGAGCTGGTGTGCCCAGACTCTGCCAGGTGCTACCCCTTTAGTTGCCAGATCATAGAGAGGTTCCAGGAGAGGTCCTGCTTGTGTCTAAAGTATCAGAAAGAACTTGGATGGGCTGGGAAGGTGGCTCAGTGGTAGAGTGCTTGCCTTGCATGCATGAGGCCCTGGGTTCGATTCCTCAGCACCACATAAGCAGAAAGAAAAAAGCTGGAAGTGGCACTGTGGCTCAAGTGGTAGAGCGCTAGCCTTGAGCCGAAGAGCTGAGGGACAGTGCCCAGGCCCAGAATTCAGGCCCCACCACCGGACCCCCCCAAAAAAAAAAGAACTTGGAGTCATTTGGGACAACATCTAAAACCTAATGCTTCAATACTGGTCACTGCAACAGTTTTCCCAGTTCAACATTACCCCTAAAAAAAAAGAAGGCTAAGAGGTGCTTCTTGGGGAGAGCATTATCTTATTGGAGAAATGAAGATATTAAATAAAAACCTATTGTTGGAGGCATGACTTAGCAGTATTGCTCCAGCCTAGCAAGTATGAAGCCCAGGGTTCAAATTCCCATACCTCAAAAAAAATTAAATAGAGACAACTACCAGACTAGGCCTAGATTACAAATAACAGGTCATTCTGAGCGTCCCTATGGGTCCTTAAATTTTGGTAAAAGAAAAAGCAGGATGACCCTTCGAAGGACCCTTTATATAACAACCAAAAGCTAGTTACTGGTGGCTCACACTACATCCTAGCTACTCAGGAGACTGAGATCTAAGGATTGTGGTTCAAAGCCAGCCTGGGCAGGAAAGTCTGTGAGACTTTTATGTCTGCTAAAACTACCAAAACAAAAACAAAAACACAGAAGTGGAGCTGTGGCTCAAGTGATAGGGCACTAGCCTTGAGCAAAAGAAGTTCAGAGACAGCATCCAGGCACCAGAGTTCAAGCCTAGGACTGGTGCATACACACAAAACAAATCAACAAAATTTCCTAGGGCTCAGTGTATCTCTGTATTATAACCAATGGTGACAATGTAACTTCTCAGCTTTAATCCAAAGTTTTGGTTATTTGCCCAAATACTTGTCTTCCTCCAGTGCCCTCTTTCTCACTATTCTTTGCCTTTTCCCAGTATGTGAACATGTGCAGGATTCAGCTCTTGGTCTGCAACCATCACTAGAAACACTATTTCAACCTCAAAAGAGAACACAAAGGTCTTGAAATATAAAGCTAGGAATCATACAAGTAGGACCTGAGACTTGTCATTCATTTTCTTTTTAATTTACTTTACATTTTTATTCATTCATTTCTTCCCTGGTTTTTCCCCCTGTGATTGTGTGCTTCCTATATACTAGGTTCTAAACTTTGAGGACAATGAGTTTGCCAGCCTAGAGATCCAGGGTTCATGCAAATAGTATATAATGATTTCCACAGATCACTGTAATGGAAGCTTGACATGTGTCTGATGATTTCCCCTTGGACCATCATGTGTATTTTCAGGGTAGCCGGTCCCAGACGACCAGCTTTCTTTGCTCCCAAACTCAGAACTAGCTTCAATACCCTTTTCCTGGCCACTTACATCTATCCATCTCTCAGATGCCAGTCTCTGTTAGCTTTATCATATTCTCAATCCACTACCAATGGCCTCTGCCTGTGTCTCAGATGCAGCCTGCAAATCAGTGCAGGAGCCTCCTAGCCCTTCCCTGTCCTCTTCCAGGGCCATGAAGGGGGTGGGAGTGGGAATTGCATATCTACTGTTTTGTCCTGTTGAGCTAGGCACTCCCCTGCCCTCCATGCTACCAGGTACAGGTACCTTACAATGAACTGTGTAGACATCATCAAATGTTCTGCTTGTAATAAGGAAAACTCCAGCACCAGCTATAGCATCCTCCTCAACATAACTTTTTACTTTTCTTTTCTCTCCCTCTGCCCTCTGTTTGTTGTTGTTGTTTGGGGTTTTTTGCCAAACTAGGTAAACATCTTTTTTTTTTTTGTCAGTTGTGGGGCTTGATCCCCAGGTACTCACTACCCCTGAGCTTTTCTGCTCAAGACTAGTGCTCTTCCACTTTGAGCCACAGCACCACTTCCAGTTTTCTAGTGGTTTATTGGAGATAAGAGTCTCACTCATGGAGTTTCCTGCCTGGCTGGCTTTGAACCGAGATCCTCAGATCTCAGCCTTCTGAGTAGCTAGGAGTACAAGGATGAGTCACCAGTGCCCAGCTTGGCTGATAGCTCTTATAGTTCCTGCAGCCCAGAATATCACAGTGCCTTTTCTTTTCCTATAAATCCAATTTTTATCTAGTCCTGTAATGCCAATTCCTGTGTCTTCATTTCTAGGAAGTCTTTCCTGATTCCTGAACTTGGACATGGTCTCTCCCCTTCCTGGATATTTCTCTTATGACCCTAGTCCCATCCCATTCTCATAATAGCCATTTGCATTCATGCCTTCTCTCCCACAAAGTTGTTAGGTTCCTGCTTACTCTTCTGGGTCGCTTAGTTGGCATATGGGAGCAGGCCACATTCACAATGAATCGCTAATAAATATTTATTGGGTGAATGAGTGAATAGTAAGTACTGGGAACACACTTAAAGCTGCATATATTTGTCTCGATTTTTTTTCTCTCCCCTGTTTCCTAGTGGAGCCCTTCTCTCAGTTTTCAATCTGATCATCTTTCCAGACACATTCCCTGCGCCTCCCTCTTCATAGTCCCCTCCTCACCACCCTCTTCACAGGTGGGAGAATCAGGAACTTCCCTTGACCTTCACTGATCTCTTTCCTCCTATTTCTCCCTGTGCAGGCTCGGAGGAGGAGCTCGAGGAGCTGTGTGAACAGGCTGTGTGAGATGTTCCAGCCAACTCAGAGTGTGCTTCAGATGACTCAGGGCCCTACCTGGCACAGAGTCTTGTTCCTGGGAGAAGAAAGGACCTCAGCAAACACCCTCTTTTTGCCATACTTCCTGGAATCATTGGAAGGGGAATGGCAATGGTGGGTGGTGGGAAGTGCTGTTTCCTGCTCACTGCTCCAGACCTTGTCTGCAGAACACACCTGCTGTGCAGCAAGTCTGTGCCTATCCACACAACCAGCTTTTGCCTGTGTGTATTTGTGAGCTGGATTCCTGAAGGCTGAGTTTTTTTCCCAAGGGTAGGAAGTTAGGTGGATAGCTAGGTTTTACAGAGGTGCTGCTCCTACCCCCAACCTCTAGGCAGGACTTCCTGGTTTGCCTCATACTCATTCCAGCCAATGGGTTCATGACCCGTCTCACTATCTTCCTTGGGTGAGCTGCACATACTAGCCTCAGCTTTGCCCTGCGAAGGCTGCTGTTATCAGGAGTAACTCCATTCAGGCTCTATTTTCCTTTTTTGTACAAGGACTAGCCTGTTGCAAAGGTTGACCCCTTTAAGAGATGAAGTGGAGATCCTCTGCACCTTCTCCAGGTAATGCCTGCCTGTCCTGGTGCATGAAGGAGAATGGTTTCCCCTTCTTGTTCTTGGCAGCTTTGTGAAAGTAAGTTAGAAAGGAAACTCTGGAAAGCCAAGATGGGAAGTTCTGTCCCTGAAGTGGGGACCGGAATCTTGACAAATCTAGGATGAAGCCTCTGATCTTCAGGATGCTTGTCACTCCATCAGCCCCAGTTCCTCTAAGATAGAGAAAAAGGAGGGTGGGAATAACTCTTCCTTGATGAACTGCTGTCCTAAAATCCCAAAGGAAGCATAAAGATCATTTCTGCTGGATTTCATTAGGGGGAAAAAAGGATGGAATGAAAATGGCAAAGGTAAAATTATAGCTGAGCAAGGACAACAAAGGTTTATTCTCCCTCAGAGCAGGGATGAGAGACAGCAAAGTGTGGCTCATTAGATTTGCAGGACCCACAGGCCCAGCTTCTTAGTATAAGCCATACAAACCAGGAACCCAGTAGAAGATGTGTACACACAGGGGATTTGGAACAGGAAGTTGGCCTGGGCAGCTTGTACCAAGTGTGTACCATATGAGGGGCCTCTTTAAGCCCTTCACTCCAGGGCATCCTGACCACTGCTAGCCCCTCAGGCATTATCTTTGCCTGGAATGTGAATGTGGGGGGGCAAGGTGGGCATGGGCCTCTACTTGAGAACCTTCTTCCCTCAAAGTTAGTGGGGAGACTAGCACCTAGGCACCCACATGGGTATTTATATCTGAACCAGACAGAAAGATGCTTGAATCAGGCACTATGTTGAGAAATGTATTTATTTGCTAATATATTTATCCATAAATATGGTCTTATCTTGTGGTTTGTTTTGTCATAACTCACTCAGGACACTGGCGCCCTGTAGAAATAATTTTTTTATATTAGGGGTCTTTGATTTACAAATAGGATGGAGTATAGGTTTGGTGATAAAACTGGGTTTTAGCCTGGTGCCAGTAGCTCAAGCCTATAATCCTAGCTATTCAGGAAACAGAGAGCTGAGGATCACTGTTCAAAGCCAGCCCAGGCAGAAAAGTCCATGAGACTGTTATCTCCAATTAACCAACAGAAAACCAAAGCAGCACTGTGACTCAAGTGGTAGAGTGTCTAGTCTTGAGCAAGAGCTCAGAGATAGTGCCCAGGCCCAGAGTTCAAGCCCCATGACCAACAAAAATAAAAATAAAAAACACTGGGTTTTAGCTGGGTGTGGTGGCTCACACCTGTAATCCTAGCTACTCAGGAGGCTGAGATTTGAGGATCACAGTTCCAAGCCAGTCTGGGCAAGAAAAGCTGTAAAACTCGTATCTCCAATAAACCACCAGGAAACCGGAAGTGGCGCTGTGGCTTAAGTGGTAGAGTGCTACCCTTGAGCTGAAGAGCTGAGGAATAGCGCTCAGGCCCAGAGTTCAGGAGCCACAAAACACTGGGTTTTAAGCCCTTAAAAGCATGACTTAGTGAGATCAGAAGACAAGAGTTTGCCTAGATTCTCCTATTGTTCTCACTTTAATTTAGAATGTGGGTCATGAGACTCTTATCTCCAGTAAACCACCATAAAACTGGAAGTGGGGCTGGGGATGTGGCTTAGTGATAGAGTGCTTGCTTTACATGCATGAAGCCATGGGTTCGATTCCTCAGTATCACATAAACAAAAAAAAAAGCTGGAAGTAACATACTCAAGTGATTAAGCAAAAGCAGCTTAGGAACAGTGCACATGCTTTGTGCTCAAGCCCCACAGCCAACAAAAAAAGATACCACCAATGTGCTCCAAAGTGGAAAGTTGAGTGATCAAAAAATCCAAATCACCTGTTGCCGGTGGCTCAAGCCTGTAATCCTAGCTACTCAGGAGGCTGAGATCTGAGGATCGCAGTTCAAAGCCAGCCTGGGCAGGAAAGCCCATGAGACTCTTGTCTCCAATTAACCACCAGAAAACCGGAAGTGGTGCTGTGGCTCAGATGGTAGAGCGCTCGCCTTGAGCTGAAGAGCTGAGGGACAGCGCCCAGGCCCAGAGTTCAGGCCCCACCACCGACCTAAAAAAAAAATGACGGACTAAAAGAGAAAAAAAACTCCAAATCCCAGTCACGGATGTCATCTGGACATAGCAAGAGATAGCCAACCCGAAGCAGGCCTGCCTTGAAGAAAGCATTTCCATCAAGAGGAGACAGACTAGACAGACAGAACAGGGACTGAAGCTTCCTATCCCAGAGCTCCAGTTCAGATCAACACCCATGTTCTGCCCACGAGCCCAGAGAGCTGGTGCTGGGCCCGCACGCATTGCCCCGGATCAGCGGGGGACTGTGCTACCTCCGCACTGCACGGCCTCTCTTGCTTCTCTGGGAAGACTTATTTGGTAAGGGTGCTGGTGGTCGGGTGCCCAGTTTTGAAAGAGAGCTTTCTATAGGGTGTCATGGAGGAAGAAAGACAACACACACACACAAAGGCACAGATTCACCCAAATCGAAAGAAAAATCTAGCCTCGCAGGGGGAAAGGCTAAGCGGAGAGCGATCCGTGCGCAACGGTCTACATCAAATGGCGCGGAGCAGAACTGCGGCTCCCGCCACCGGCCAGGGCTGCCGGCCTCCCGCGCAGGCGCAGAGCGCGCCGCGCCGCGCCGACCCGCCCTCAAGGACCCAAAGGCTGTCTCTGCCTCGCCCGCGCGGGCCCAGGTGGCGCCCGCTCGCCGGCCCGCCAGCCAGGTGGCTGCAGGCCGGCCCCGCCCACACGGCCGGCGGGAGAAACCATTTCCTCAGGCAGGGGGGGTGAGGGGGGGTGGAGGAGTGGAGGGGGGTGGAGGGGGACAGGCGCAGCTCTGAACCGGAAGCGGAAGTGCGAGACACCCAGCCGCGTCAGGCATTCTGGGTAATTGGCTGTTTACTTCCGGCGGTGTGACTGGCTCTCCAGCTGTTTCTCTCCCTTTCCCCGAAGATGGCGTTGGAGACGGTGCCGAAGGATCTGCGGCATCTGCGGGCGTGTCTGCTGTGTTCGCTGGTCAAGGTGCCCGGGGATCTGGCCGGAGGGGCGATGGGGAGAGGAACGGTGGAGGAGACCGGGTAGAGCTGGGCTGGGGCCAGGGGAGAGATCCTAGAGGACCGTAGCCTGGCGCCGGCGGCTCAGGCCTGAAATCCAAGCTAGTTAGTAGTCTTGGATCTGACGATCGCGTTCCGAAGCCACCCCGGGCCTCAGAGTCCGTAAGACTCTGACCTCCAATTAATCAGAAAAAAAAAAAAGAAAAGCCAGAAATGAAACTGTGGCTCGAGTGGTAGAGCCCCAGCCTTGAGCCAAAGAAGCTCTAGGACAGCGCCCAGGCCCTGAGTTCAAGCCCCAAGATCAGCAGGAAAAAAAAATAGCAGTAAAGGACTAGGACCCTGGGAACTGGCAGGGAAGTGGGCAGCTAGCAAGCCTTTGTTTAATGCGCAGCAACGCGAGTAGATCTGCCGAGCGTCCTTCTCTGCCTGTAGAGCCTCAGCAGTGAGCACGGGTCTGGCTCTGGCACCGAAAGGCTAGAGTCAAAGGCAATGGCAATCTGCCTGACCCTGAGGACACTAGAGAAAAGAAGAGGTCAGGGGTTGGAGGCGCGGCTTAGCTCGTAGAGCGCTAGCCAGTGAGCAAAAACAAGCCTCGGATACCAAGTTCGAGTCCCGAAAGAAAAGTAGGAATAAGAGAGGGCAGAGTTCAGGTGAGGCCTTGATGAAATTATCACCTAGATAACCAAGAAGCTGATTGGACCCAGGTGTTAAGAAGCTTTCTCATCTCTCCTTATCCTTTTTCTTCTTTAATTTTCTTCCCAGACTATAGACCAGTTTGAATACGATGGATGTGATAATTGTGATGCATATCTACAAATGAAGGGTAACAGAGAAATGGTATATGACTGCACCAGCTCTTCCTTTGATGGGTAAGCCCTTTTCATTGATTCATTTATCAGTGTCAGTTTGCCCCACCCTCACCCCATCCCCAGGAACTAAACGTGTACCAGGCATTTAATTTAAGGCCATAATCCCCGTTGTTTCAGAAGTTATTTTGTGATGGTCTATTCCTGTCCATTCAGTTCAGTAGGCAACAGCTTCAAGCTGTTGAAACTTGAAAAGTGCTTTAAATTGATAATGTTCTTTAACTTCAAAGATTTAACATGATAAAAAAGAAAGCTAAAAAAAAATTTTTTTTATGTCTGTGCTGGGGCTAAAGCTCAAGGCTGGTTTGCTACCACTTGTGCCACAGCTCCACTTCCTGGTTAATTGGAGAAAAGTCCCATGGATTTTCATACCCAGGGTGGCTTCAAATGGTGAGCTGGTGAGCCTCAGATCTCAGCCTCGTGAGTAGCTAGGATTACAGGCGTAAATTGTTGGTACCTGACTTAAAAAAAAATGGTTTAAAATATTTTTGTCATGCTGGGATTGAACCCATGGTTTTACTGAGTTGTGCCCCAAGCCCAATGTCACATATCTTTGCTTTTTTGGGGGGGAGGGGGGGGGATTGGTTGTGGGGCTAGAACTCTGGGCCTGGGCACTGTCCCTCAGCTCTTCAGCTCAAGGCTAGTGCTCTACTACTTGAGCCACAGTGCCACTTCCGGTTTTCTGAGTGGTTTTTTGGAGATAAAGACAGACTTTTGTGCCTGGGCTGGCTTTGAACCATAATCCTCAGATCTCAGCCTCCTGAGTAGCTAGGATTACAGTCGGGAGCCACCTGCGCCCAGCTGTTTGCATTTTTTTGCAGTGCTGGGGTTTAAACTAGGGAGTGCTCTTAACCACTTGAGCCTAAGCGCTGATGTTAGTTATTTTGTGAGCTCAGTGTATATTCATTTTTGCCCTAATTTTTTTTGTTATTGTTGAGTTTAAGGAATTACATGTACTAGAGCATATTAGGTTTTTAAATAGTAGGCAGATTAAGTGCTCGCAGATCAGATTTGGGATAGATGATCTGGGCCAGAAGTAGAGGAGGTAGCATCCTTTCCTCTTTTTATTTTTGTACTGGTCCTTGGGGATTGAACTCAGGGCCAGTGCCATCCCTAAGCTTTTTTCTCAAGGGTGTCACTCTAACTCTTGAGCCACAGCTCCACTTTTGGCTTTTTGTTGGTTAATTAGAGATCAGAGTCTCTTGGACTTTCCTGCTGGGCTGGCTTTGAAATGTGATCAAATCTCAGCTTCTCAAGTAGCTAAGATTACAGGCATGAGCCACCTGCACCCAGCATATTCTTTCTTCTTAAAGCACCAGGATCTCTTAAGAAAGTTGAGATGACATAGAACTTACATTCCAGAAATAGAGCATTCCAGCTGGGCATAAGTAGCTCACACCTGTAATCTAGCTACTCAGGAGGCTGAGATCTGAGGATCACACTTTAAGTCAGTCTCAGGCAGGAAAGTCCATAAGAGTCCTCAACTACCAAAAAGCCAGAAGTTGAGCTGTGGCTCAAATTGGTATTGGGCTAGTCTTGAGCACAAAAGCTCAGGGACAGCATCCAGGCCCAGAGTTCAAGCCCCATGACCGAAATAAAAGAACAATCCAAATAAAGAGAGTGACTGTAACAAAGGCATGGAATGGAGTGAATTATTTATGTTCTGGAAAAATCTGTTGGGATTAAATCCTTTGGGAAACAAACTGTGAGGCTAAAAGAATAGATTGTGAGTGGCTGGGAAGGTGGCTCAGTGGTAAGAGTGCTTGCCTTGCACGCATGAGGCCCTGGGTTCGATTCCTCAGCACCACTAAGCAGAAAAAGCCAGAAGTGGCTCTGTGGCTCAAGTAGAGCGCTAGCCTTGAGCTGAAGAGCTGAGGGACAGCGCCCAGGCCCAGAGTTTTGGCTCCACGACCAACCAAAAAATATATATAATATGTGTATATATCTAGACAGATTGATTGTGAACCAACTGTGAGGCTAAAAGAATAGATTGTCACTCCAGGAGGGGAGCTCAGTTCCACTTAAAGCACATGGTAAAAACCTAGGATTTGGTTGGGAAGAGAGATCTGAGAATCTCCAGAATAGCTGCCCAGAGAACAAGGTATGGATGTGGGAAATACCAGCAAATGTCAGCTCCTAAAACAGACCTGATATAGAAAGCAGTAAGCATTTAATTAATGTAATTTTTAATTTAATTATTGTAATTTTAATTAATGTAATTTTTGCTAGCATCTGATTCATCTTACTCAAGTAGCAAGCTTTTAGGCCTTGAATAGCCTTTCTATTCCCCTAGCTGTGGAATAAAACCTACCTGGGAGGGTCTTTTAGGATAATGAGAAGAGTAAATGCCTATTCTGTGTTATTCTCTGTACTAAACACTATGATTTCAGCTTTTTCTTTTTTGGGGGGTGGGGAGGAGAGTCAGTCATGTGGCTTGAACTTTGAACTCAGGGCTGGCCTGGGCACTGTCCTTAAGCTCTTTTGCTCAAGGCTAATGCTTTACCACTTGAGCCGCAACTCCACTTCTAGTTTTCTGGTGATTAATTGAGGATAAGGAGTCTGACAGAGCCAAGCGCTGGGGGCTCATACCTGTGATCCTAGCTACTCAGGAGGCTGAGATCTGAGGATCGTGGTTCAAAGCCAGCCCGGGTAGGAAAGTCCCCTACATCTCTAATTAAGCACTAGAAAACCAGAAGTGGGGCTGGGAAGGTGGCTCAGTGGTAGAGTACTTGCCTTGCATGCATGAGGCCCTGGGTTCAATTCCTCAGCACCACATAAGTAGAAAAACCTGGAAGTGGCACTGTAGCCCGAATGGTAGAGTGCTGGCCTTGAGCTGAAGAGCTGAAGGACAGTACCTAGGCCCAGAGTTCAAGCCCCATGACTGACAAAAAAAAAAAAAAGGAGTCTCACAGACTTTCCTACCTGGACTGGCTTGGAACCACAATCCTTAGATCTCAGCCTGCTGAGTAGCTAGAACTAAAACTACAGGCATAAGCCATTGGCCGTCCACTTTTAAGCTGTTTCATCTGGGAAGTCTGTAGACTAAGAGTGATTTTGATCCTAGTGAAATAGTCTTTTAGGGATGGTATCTGGCTTTTTACTAGCAGGAATAATGACATACAATGAAGACTCTTTATTCACTACTTCTGAGTCAGCCCCTTCCCAGCATTAGGCCTATTTTCCAGTGGAGACTCAAGGCCTGGCTTTCTCTTAGGATTCCTCTCCCAGAATGCTTTGGCTTGATGAGCAGCTTCCTTCCTTTCCAGCAGAGGAGTCTCATGCCCACCCTCTGTTTATTTTCCCTCCCTAGAATCATTGCAATGATGAGTCCAGAGGACAGCTGGGTCTCCAAGTGGCAGCGAGTTAGTAAGTGTTTCCCTTTTTCCTTTTCCTGGCTTACAGCAGAATATGTGGCTTTAGTGTGGGAAAGATGAGACCGAAGGACAGATAAGGAAGCATCGTCCTGTCACCAAAAGAAGTGATGGCTTTTCACTCAGGGTTAACAGCCTCCATTTGGTCTTTAGCCTTAACTCACTCCTGCTGCAATCTCCCTTCTTGTTTTTCTTAGGTAACTTTAAGCCTGGTGTATATGCTGTGTCAGTCACTGGTCGCCTGCCCCAAGGTAATAAAATCATAACTTCTACTTATTGTATCAAGCTCTAGTGAGCTACTGTTTTATGTGAGTTAACATCATTCCTCATAACTCTCATGAGGTTCTATATTTTACAGCTGAGGGAACTGAGCTACACAGAGATTATAAATAACTTGGCCCTGGAATTCTGGCTCTACAACCTCACTGGGGGTGGAGTACTGAGGTTTGAACTCAGAGATAGGGTGGTACTCTACCACTTGAACCAAACAGCTACTTCCAGCTTTTTTTTTTTTTTTTTTTTATGCTAGTCCTGGGGCTTGAACTCTGGGCCTCAGTTTCTATGGCTCAAGTGGTAGAGTGCTAGCCTTGAGCCAAAGAAACTCAGCTTCCAGCTTTTCAGTAGTTAATTGGAGATAAGACTCTCACAGACTTGCCTAAGTCCTTCAAGGTGCAGATGAGGGCTTTGCTTATCCTTCAGAAACTTATCTCATGGAACTGTTTCTTTTCCTGTTACAGGAATTGTACGGGAGCTAAAAAGTCGAGGAGTGGCCTACAAATCCAGAGACACTGCTATAAAGACCTAGCAAGATGCAGGACTGCTGACATCTTTGCTGTCCACCTTCTGCTTCTGCTTTGTTTTTGTTACGGAATCTGAACAGACAGAGCTTCAAAATCCCTGCTCCTCAACTCTGCGAATCATCAGACTGTTCAAAGAATAGCGGATCCTGTCCTTGGGCCGTGGACTACTGGTAGAGTGGGAGGGCTTGGAATGGTGGATTCTCATGGCCTCAACTGAAGGAAGATACTGTTTTTTCTACTTGTTGAAGGGCTTGCTGTATGCTTGCCCATGGGTCAAATCCAATAAACATAAACTCTTGGAAAATTCTTAAAGCCATAACACATGCCTTGCCTCACTCTCCATTTTGCCCAGGCCAATGAGGGTTCCTTTGCCCTATAATCATACCAGCATGATAGAGGCCTTTCTACGCCCTGTGGCCTGACTGTGGATCCAGAGTTATACGCCAAGGAAGGATGGTATATTGTGGCAAGGTAGCCCCTCATTGTGATGGTCTGGTGTGCCTAATGGTCATAGCCTTTTGTGCCCTTTGTCTCTTGGCCCTGTTTAGTACTTTCTTTTCTCCTGCTCTTTCTTTTTTTTTTTTTTGTTGGTCATGGGTCTTGAATTCAGAGCCTGGGTGCTGATCCCTCAGCTCTTCAGCTCAAGGCAAGTGCTCTGCCACTTGAGCCACAGTGCCACTTCCAGTTTTCTAGTGGTTTATTAGAGATAGGAGTCTCATGGTCTTTTCCTGCCCAGGCTGGCTTTGAACAGAGATCCTCAGATCTCAGACTCCTGAGTAGCTAGGATTACAGGTGTGAGCCACCGGCTCCCAGCTACCCTGCTCTTTATAAGTAGAAATAAACTTATGTGAAAAATCCTGTTAAAAAAGTCAAAGGATGAGACATGGCACACCCCTGTAACCCTGGCACTTTTGTGGCTGAGACCAGAAACAAAAAACTTACAAAAGGGATTGGGAGAGCTGGGCTAAGATCTGAGGATCATGGTTCAAAGCCAGCCCGGGCAGGAAAGTCTGTGAGACTCTTTATATCCAATTAACCACCAGAAAACTGGAAGTGGCACTGTAGCTCAAATGATAGAGTGCTTGCCTTGAGCTGAAGAACTGAGGGACAGCACCCAGGCCCAGAGTTCAAGCCTTATGACCAACAAAAAAGGGATTGGCAATGTAGCTCAAGTGGTAGCTTGTTTGCCTAACACATGTGAGGTCCTGGATTCAATCTCCAGTATCTCACACACATACACACAAACTTACAAAAAAATTGGTGTATTCATTCTTTAATAATGGCCGTGCCCCTGTGGCTCATGCCTATATTCCTAGCTACTCAGGAGGCTGAGATCTGAGGATGGCAACATAATTGCAACAAAGGGGGTGGGAGGGTTGGGGGGGGCATAACCAGGACTAGCGTGAGCTCATGCGCTGCAGAGGCTCCTGCACAGGGCTGTGTGTCTCACTGCCACCTGGTGTTGCTAGTGAGTCAGTTGGCTATGCCTGGAGGATGGAAAGAGGTGCTGTCTCCCCTGCATTGGTCTCCCCTCCTACCTTGTCCTCCCCTAGGCCCATAGGATGAAAACGGGACTGGCCAGCTGTCCGTTCAAACAAGAACCATTTTTGCTGGGACTGTCAAGCTCTGAGGAAGGAGTATCAGTCTGAAAGCCTTGGTCAGTGGCCCCCAACACCTCCCTTAGTTTTCTGGAGGGAAGGCCTCTCTAGGATTGCCTAGAGTGGACAAGCCAACACCCAAACTTTCACTGGCTTTGTGAAAAAAAGTCCCTTGGAAAGTCCCAGCTGCTGTCCTGTGTGTCTGACCCGGACGTGGTTGCTTGGTGAGAATGGAAACAGTTGTGGGGAGGGGAGGCAAGGGGAGCTGCACAAATAACCACAGCCCCACACTTAGCTGGGTCCTAACTGTCAACTTCTCCGGAAGCAAAAGACAAAGCTGCTGCTGATGGTGGGGGGAGGGGGCTTGTTGCAGCCCCTTGGCCTGGGGAGGTGCTTGGGAATCCATTTCTTATCCTGTCTCGTTCTTGAATCTTCTCTGGTGCCACTCTGCAGCCCAGTTAGGCAATAAAGCGCTACAATCCCACCCCCTGCTGGTTCCAGGTTCTCTGAGGGTGAGTGGGGCCTGGGAGGAAGAAGGTCCCAAGCCCTGCATTCCAGCCATAAGGGCTCTCTGCTGCCTAGTGTGTCTGTCTTATTCTAGCTGGTGAGGGGTTGAATCTGCCCAGGGTCTTAAGAGCTCCTCTTGGCCTCTTACTGAGTAGTTTGATCTCCTTCAGATGCATAAGTCGCCTCCCTCTCTTCAACAGGACAGACTCAATTTAGGCAAGACGAGAAATGAGTGGTAGTATTACCTACTCTCTCTACCAAAAACTGTAGGGGCAGAGTCTCCCAAAAATGAAGGGGCTAAGTAGCAGTGCATTGATGGCTGCAGCCTCCAGCCCAAGCAAGGACTGATGGCTGATTAAGCTAAGGTCCGGGTATTCTGGTCTCAGAAAAGCAGTTTCCCCAAGAATAGTGATTATGGGCCGGGCGCTGGTGGCTCACGCCTGTAATCCTAGCTACTCAGGAGGCTGAGATCTGAGGATCGCGGTTCAAAGCCAGCCCCGGCAGGAGAGACCATGAGACTCCTATCTCCAATAAACCACTAGAAAACCGGGAGTGGCACTGTAGTTCAAGTGGTAGAGCGCTCGCCTTGAGCTGAAGAGCTGAGGGACAGCGCCCAGGCCCAGAGTTCAAGCCCCACGACCGACAAAAAAAAAAAAAAGAATAGTGATTATGGGCCGGTAAGGACCGAAGCTCAAGCTGGGCCCACTACGATTGGGGACTGATACCTCATTGTTTGTGTGGCCCCTAGTTTGTCCTTCCCAGCCAATCTTGCTATTCAGTTTTCATTCAGGCCCTCATCCAGAATCTAATCTCTGTGTGTGTATAAAAGAGAAGCAAGACAGGGTACTGGTGGCTCACATCTATAATCCTAGCTACTCAGGAGTCTAAGATCTAAGGATCCTGGTTCAAAGCCAACCCAGGCAGAAAAGTCTATGAGGTTTTGTTTTGTTTTGTTGTCAGTCGTGGGGCCTGAACTCTGGGCCTAGGCGCTGTCCCTAAGCTCTTCAGCTCAAGGCAAGAGCTCTAGTACTTGAGCCACAGCACCACTTCTGACTTTTTCTGCTTATGTGGTGCTGAGGAATCGAACCCAGGGCCTCATGCATGCAAGGCAAGCACTCTACCACTGAGCCACCTTCCCAGCCCTGTGAGATTCTTTTTTTTTTGGTCAGTCTCGGAGCTTGAACTCTGGCCTTGGGCACTGTCCCTGTGCTCTTCAGCTCAAGGTGAGTGCTCTACCACTTGAGCCACAGCTCTACTTCCCAGTTTCTAGTGGTTTATTGGAGATAAGAGTCTCACGGACTTTCCTGCCCAGGCTGGCTTTGAACCATGATCCTCAGATCTCAGCCTCCTCAGTAGCTAGGATTACAGGCGTGAGCCACCGGTGCCTGGCTCCCTGTGAGATTCTTAATACCAATTAGCCACCAAGTGGCTCAAGTCAGAGTGCCAGCTTTGGGTGATTAAACTGAAGGACAACTCCAGGCCCTGAGTTCAAGGTCCCAGTACCAGCATGCATGCATGTATGTAGGCACATGCCCATGTGTGTATGTGTACGCACACGTGCACGCATGCACACACACGCAGGTAGATAATGGTTAAGATGGACTAAAATGTCTTACTTTGGTAATTTGTTTCATGTTTAGTATTAGTAAAGACTTTTGCAGTTAACAAAGGGCTTTGACATTTCATTTAATCCTCATAAAAACCCCTGGGACAAATGAACAACCTTATTTAGCAATGAGGAGCCATGATTAAGTAGTAGAGCCCCAGACCAAGAACTATGTGCCCATTCCCAGTTTAGGGCTGCTGTAACCCCCAAACACAGCAGCTTTGCTCTCTTTATGACTGCTGCACAGAGCCACTGTGAAGAGGGATTGGCCTTCTACTCTTTTCTGTTCCTCAAAGTCAACATAGTGTCCCCTACACACTGAACCACGCCAACCACTCTGCTCTTAACACCTCTAGTCCCCAACTTTAAATTTAGCCAAAAGAAGTGAGGCAGTGAGGTTAATAGCCCAGGGAGAGGTCCTTCGGGCTTACTCAAGGAGCTCCTGCAGAGCAAATGGAATGAAGCCATCCCTTCCTTAGTTGCCCCAGGTTGCATCTTCTATTCCAACAGCTCTGAGGCACCTGCTGACCTGTGCCTCATATGTCCCAACTTTGGTGTTTTCCTGCTCCCCACTTTCCTCCATAGCAGCCTGATTATAGCACCCTAGTGGAACACAGATGGAAGCAGATATCCAGTTAAGAACAGTGCCTGCTTCCCAGTCCTGCTGTCTACACATCACCAGCCCTGTGACTTTTTTTTTTGATCTTGGAGCTTGAACTATGGGCTTGGGTGCTGTCCCTCAGCTCTTCAGCTCAAGGCTAATGCTCTACCACTTGAGCCACAGTGCCACTGCTGGTATTTCTGGTGGTTTATTGGAGATAAGAGTCTCATAGAGGGGCTGGGAAGGTGGCTCAGTGGTAGAGCGCTTGCCTTGCATGCCTGAGGCCCTGGATTCGATTCCTCAGCACCACATAAGCAAAAAGAAAAAAGCCAGAAGTGGCACTGTGGCTCAAGTGGTAGGGCACTAGCCTTGAGCTGAAGAGCTGAGGGACAGTGCCCAGGCCCAGAGTTCAGGCCCCACAACCGGGCCTGAGTCTCATAGATTCATAGAGTCTATAGACTTTCTTGCCCGGGCTGGCTTTGAACCATGATCTTCAGATCTCAACCCCCTGAGTAGCTAGAATTACAGGTATAAACCATCGGTGCCCATCCTCTGTGACTTTTTTTTTTTTTTTTTTTTGCCAGTTGTGGAGCCTGAACTCTGGGCCTGGACACTGTCCCTCAGCTCTTCAGCTCAAGGCTAGTGCTCTAGCACTTGAGCCACAGTGCCACTTCTGGCTTTTTCTGCTTATGTGGTGCTGAGGAATCGAACCTAGGGCCTTAGGCATACAAGGCAAGCGCTCTACCACTGAGCCACCTTCCCAGCCCCCTCTGTGACTTTTATAAGTAATTCTCTCAACAATAGCTATAATACTAGATGGCAAGGTAATAGTACCTACATTAGGATGGAACAAGTTGTAAGGGGGACCTGTAGGGCTGGCTTACATTCTGAGAGAGAGAGAGAGAGAAAGAGAAGGGGGGGGAGAGAGAGAAGAGAGAGAGAGAGAGAGAGTGAGTGTGTGTATGCCAGTCCTGGGCTTTGAATTCAGGATCTA